TATTCTTGATAATTTTCAAAATCTGGATTGGTTTTAACTAATACAGATTTGGAATTTTCTGTTTAATATGAAAAAGTAAAAATGATTTAACAAGTATTTTAAGAACCACCTGCAGATTCATCACTTCAACACTTGAATACAATAAAGTGTCAAAAAGATCAGAAATTAGATTGTAATTTAAGAATGATGAGTTTAAAGGAAATTTTTATTAACATCGTAAGTGTTTTATTATGATATTGGTAAATATTATTCTGAAAAAAAAAAAAAAATCTAAACTAAGTCAGTAATCAAAATGGATGTAAATTTTATTTGCAACTGATGTTCATTAATTACTAAATCAACATATTTCAGTTCAGAGTTTATGAAATTACTTTTCTTCATCAATTTATGCTGAAAAGAAATTGTCTTTGCCAGTAATGAGCTTTAAATGAAAGAAAATTTTATTTGCTGTAAATTAATTTTTTTTTGATAACTTATAAACAAAAAATATGATTTCTAACCCTGAAGTCTTAATTTACTGTTTACAGTTCATTTCTTGTCAGGTTTGAAAATATTGTCAATAAAATTTTGCAACTTCATTTTCAAATACTCATGATCCTTTTTTAAATGTTTTATAGTTCAAAGTCAAAATATAATGTCATTTACATATAGAACTATACTTAATTTTATATATAGAACTTGCTACCTCTTTCACAAAATATCAGGAACACATTTGCTAAGAATTAACTGTATCATGTCAGAGTTAAATGCCCTCCCCCGGTTCAAAATGTAAAAGTTCATGCAGTATTTATAAACAGTTTTAAGTATTCAAAATATTTTTTTCAACAAAAATAGCTACAGAAGCAGCAACAATTTGTGGCACGTTATATAAAAATGATGAATACTAGAACAATATCACTTCTAAAGCAGGTCACTCTGCACCTTATATTTTGTAATAATTACTTTAAACATTTGATTTGGTTATAGTAACAATGAACCAACTTTACCATTGAATTACAAAGTAAACATTTAAAAGCAAAAATTATGATCAATAGATCTGAAAATATATATATATATATATATAAAGAGGTTTCCAGAATTGATCTTAGCTGATAAAAAATGCGGTAAATAAGCAATTTTAAGCAACTATGGATACAGATAATATTTTGTTTAAAATGGTATTTAACTGTGAAAACACATGAAGCAGACACAAACACATTGCATAGGCATGAACCCAAAGGATCTATTATTTAGAAGACACATTTTTGTAATTATTTTAGATTCTAAAACAAAAACATTTTTTTGCTAGAAATATTGATGTAGAACCCAAGATTTGTTTTTAAGAAAAAAGAAAGAAAAAAGTTCAATGTTTCAAGTAAGATGCAAACAAATCTAATAATAAACAGAAAAAGTGAACAGTAAATACATCCAAATTATTTTATGGAACAATGATTTCCATATAGGCCCTAAAATATTAACTTCCCCTTTAATTTTCGAAGGGGTGGGGGAGGAGGAGGAAAAAAAAAATGAAAACAAAAATAAACCAGTAAAACCTGGCATAATTGACTGAATTAACAGTGAACAGTTATTGCTGCCTTAAATAGAAAGATGCACTGATATACAAATTCAATATAAAGATTTAATTTAAGCATGACCATTTCGATTTGACTATTTTAAAATATATATATATATATATATATATATATATATACACACACACACGTTATAAGACAATTATTTCCACAGCAATTTCCTCGGCAAATAACTTTTTTCAGCAGTGCATGGATTTTTTACAGTAAACTTTACATTTTGAAATGAATGCTAATCATATATCCGAAATAATACAATGAATATTGATTCTGCCTTACATTTACTGAAATTTTAAAATGGTAGTCAATCTTGAACTGAACATTACTTCACTTTATCAATCAAGAACCAGTTTTAGTAATATATAAGCTCATTATACTTCAAGAGATACTTAAAGGACCAGATAAGATAAATAATTTGTTTTCAGTACTATAATAGTACTGGGATTCACAAAAAATATTTATGTTTTAGTCATTTTAACTAATTTTATCCAAAAAAAATTCCTTTTGATTGTAACAGCTGTCTTAGCACACATTTTAAAAAATGCAAAGTTAAAATTGGCACATTTTATTTTACATTATAACATTGAAGACCAAAGAAAATAAGAAACATTTTCCGTACATTAAGCTTTTTATTTTAAGAGAGGTAAAAAATGTAACTAAAATACAATAACAAAAAATTTGCAAAGTCTCGTGCTGGGGATTTCTTGATCCATGATCAAGTAGATCAGTTGAAGTTGATAGCAATGAAATTGAGACATTACTTGATGTTACAGAAAGAAAATAGACAATATTTAAAAAAAAAAAAAAAAAAAAAAAAAAAAAAAAAAAAAATTCATCTGCACCAGGTTTGTTTATGTCATTTGCTGAGTGAGACTTTCACAAAAAGTTGAAAGCAAACTAGTGAACCATGTTTAAATATCCCTTTTCTGAAACAAATTTTAATACCAAATGCTGACTTTAATTCAAACAAGTTGTGCTCCCAATTGAATATTCCATCAAGATAATGCTCATCAGCAAGTTTCTTTGGTAGTGACAGAAAAAAAAAAAAAACAAACTAAAATTGCTACAACTTAACTAAAAAATATTCATCAATATGCCATAATCACCAGATATTGCACTTTTACAAAATCTTTTTAATAAGAAAAAATTAGTGTAGTTTTTTACCGAGAAAGCTAACAAGTTCTGAGAGGATAAAATTATGAAGTTACCTAAAGATGGTAGAAAAGAGTGTAACAAAATAGTTAAGTATGCTATTCAATATAAAGTTAATATTGAAAATGAAATAAAAGCATTCTTTTATTTTTTTTTTATTTAATAAATTGAATGAGCTTTTTTGCCAAGCTGATACTCCTATTTTTTCTCCATTTTATTCGAATTTTATTTCAAAGTTACCCTAACTATGGGTTAAATAGTAAGATAGACTGGGCTCTCTAACCTTGGGTAGCAGTCTAAAAAGAAAACTTCAAGTTCCAAACTGTAGAGAAGGTAATGGGGAACCACTCCACTATTTTTCCCAAGAATGCACGATAATTCACAGATAATGAAGTAAAGAAATCTGTGGAGAGTCATAATTGCCTGTCCTTGAGGGAAGTGGTAATTTTTTTTTTTTTTTTTATTAACTTACTTTCATAAATGGTCAAGTTCAATACTCAAGGATATATTTATAGGAAATGATGCAATTTCCTGTCAAGGAAAATTCAAGAAAAATCAGATCAACTTTGGTGCAATTCTTAATATATATTAAAAAGGCCTATGCACGTTTTCTAAAAAAAATAAAACACGTGTCCACATTTTTTTTTTTGGTCAATTGGGTGTACAAAAAAAATATGTGGTCACTTCATAAGAAATTTGTGGAGCTAACGCACATGTGTGTGAGCCCATCAGAACATTTAAATAAGGAGAATATTTTCAAAATGCTTCAGAACGATTTACTTATCTGGCAAGATGAAATACAACTGTCTCTCACCACAAGCCCACTCATTTGACCACTGAATGAACAGTATCAAATAACAATTCTCAACTTGGTGATAATGTTTTTAACACCACATGTCTACTGATATTTCTTGGTGACTCTCAGAGATTTTAAAGAAAAACGAAACATGAATGATTAATTTTTGTTCTCAGATATTTCCACATTTCTTGTGTTGTAAAAATAAAATATAAGCTTCTCTATTTTGTAGCACTCATGTTAATCGTTTTCAGTTAGCATTTGTTCCACTACACTTTCAACTTTTACAAATTTTATATTTAATTAAAAGGTTATCTATATAGCAATATCTGGTTCCAGCTTAACTTTCATCCTGATAAACCAGAGAAAAAAAAATGGAAAAATCCAGATGGAATTTCCTGGTATTTTCTCCAGTTGATCCCCCCACCCATCCTCCACAAAGTAAACTCTAATCTTCAACTCCAATGTACAACTGAATGTAAGCTCATGCTGTTGATGTAGTATTGCATTGACATGTGCCTATGCTGCACAAACTTGTTTTGAATCATAAAACATCCATTTCTTGAATGGTCATAGGTTTGTTATTCTGAACAAAGTTTTTGTTAGTACAGGTCTGAACTTATCACTTCTTGTGTTTTTTTTTTTTTTTTGTGGGCATGTCTCAGCTAATTTTGGTAGCATATAGCACTCATTGGTTTAAAAAGTGTACAAGAAAGTTTTTGAAGATTTTAAAAAAATGATGAGTTACTGATTAACTGTAGAGAATTGATGCTCCAAATCTTCCTGCTTCTCTTAAAAAAAGACAAACATTTTTTTGCATTAGGTGCCAAGCACAATAATAGTTACTGGATGAATTTTAAGACAAAAATGAGAACCATATAATCTGTTATAAAACAAATTTTAAACAAAAACAAAAAAATTGCAGGCTTTTTTCCATTCTGTTTAATAAGCTTTAAAATGGGCAAATGTATTATCTATATTTTAGAGTGTGGACAGCAACTTTTTTTTAATCTGAAAGCTGAACAACAAGCTTTTATTGAAAAGTATAAAATTTGTCTTTTACATGAAAGAACCAATTGAAAAACCAAAAACAAAATCATAGCCTCAAGTGAAGTTCAGCTGTTTGCCTCCTCTTGAAACTGTACTGTACTACAAGGATAAGATGGAAATCTGTATATCATTTGTGTTTGTCTATATATGTTAAACTTATTTCAGAGTTGGAAAAATTTGAATAACTGACTGTATCCAACAAGTTAAAGAGTTATATTCTTAGATTATCTGATCAGAAGTTAAGTAATCAAGTTTTTAGGCCCAATAGAAGCAAGTTGAACAGAATTAAATTCTAATTGCAATTATAAAAATAGATGAACCATTCTGTTTAACCTGTACTTCAAGATACTAAAGAGCAATAGATCAAGCTGAAAGAATAAGACAAGAGAATTAAGTATCCAATATATAGGCAGGTGAAAATGATAAATGCTTACCTGAATGCACTTCCTTTGCCGCCCATTGTAATATAAGATGTGTCACTAACATTACGCCGATGACCTTTCACTGAAGTGCGGGTTGGAGGTGGTGGAGAATGAGGTGGTGTGATTGAGATCAACGGCTGGCTATCATTCTGTTAAGAAAGAACAAGAGAGATTGGAATTTTTCTTGCATGAAAAGTCATATTTAATATTCATCTTATAGTCTATCATTAGTACATTTATCTATCATTTCAAACTGGTTATGAATTATATTCATTAGAGTAGATCCAAGAACTGTTACTGGAATAACTTTTAATTCTAATAAACTGCAGAAAGTGAAAAGTAACAATTTACATTTTTGCGTATCTTTTTAAAATGTTAAAATCTTTGCTTATATTTTTAGTTCAAAATGTTGAAGACATCTGTATGAAAGCCAGCTCCCAAACTATCCACAAATAGAATTAATAGCTATCTTGATGGGAAAGATTTTATAGTAGCCTAACGTGTGTGTGTGTGTTGTGAGTATTGAATTTCCTACTAGTAAAGCCAGCAATAAGTAAAATTTATTTCATTTATGAATTAGAAGAGGAAAGGTTTTCAATCAAAAGCTAGAGTAAAAGAAAAGAAAAAAGATTCCAATATGGAAGTAAAAAAAAAAAAAAAAAATCAAATTTTGTTAGTACTTAAATAGCACCATTGCAGTAATAATATTTTGTATTCACTAGTATTCGCTCCCTCACCCCACCCAAGATGGAGATGGGATTACTTTTTACCATTTACCAGAAAATTTCATATCAATTTTATACCAATAATAGTGCAACTTTTGATGAACAAAGATTTAGTTGCTGTTTGATGCTTTTTATTATTATTATAAAATGTTCTTTTTTATTAATACTCAGCAAGGACTGTTTGCTTTATAACTTCATAATGATTGGTACTAGCAATATGCAACCATAACTATGTGCACCTTTATCCTTACTCACCTTGTCTTAAGCTTTATGAAGGAAAGTTTCATTACAACTATTTTACAGAAATTACAAAAAGTTACCTCAATATTTTTTAAAATATAAAATTTGCATTTTTATTTTTTACTATGAAGTTACTAAAACAAAGTGAATGTTTAACTAAAAGAGTCGTCTACATAAATAGAAAACTTTACTGTAGATTCTAAAAATGATTTCTAATGTAGTCTAGCATTTGGCATATGTCTTGTGAATTTTCTGGTAAAGTGTTTGGTTCTTAAATTCATTACATTGGCATAAAAAGATTGGTTTCACTTTTTCTCTCATCAGAAACAAATATCAGAAATGAAAAAACATGCTAACAAATTGGGTATAGTAAGATGATATCAAATTTATCTTATTGCATGTTGTAACAAATTCTTTTCAGCCAATGAAAGCATGTACTCAATGTATCATTTTAAAGTTATAGGTATATATGTGGAAGTTGGGAACGAAAAATTTTTGGCTTAACCAAGAATGAATTAAAATTAAGAAAACCAAAATATCTGCGTTTTGGTATTTTCGTCATATTTTAGGAATGAGGCTGGGTTGAAAATTTATTTTAAGCAACACCTCATATATAACTAATAAAATATAAATACAAATGCAATATAGAGAACTTAATTTTTTTTTTTACAAAAGTTTATTGAAGTGTGTATAAGTGAAAGACAGGTTAAAAAGGAATAACATGACTTGTGAAATGTATAAAAGAGAAATAAAACAAATAGAAGATTTGCTTCAATATAGATTCATTCGACAGCAATATTAATTGATAAAAGATTGCTATAAATAGCTACGTCTACAGAAGTATCAATAATAGTAGAACATGTAAAAAGAGAGAGATGGGCAAATATCAAACGAAAGAAATTGCTAAGCAAGATGAAAAGGTTTAAACAGCTGCACTAAGTTCTCCAATCATTTCTGAATGACCGTTTTTTTTTTGGAGGTGGGGGGGAGGGGGTCTCTTATTCAATCTTACATGGAATAAAAAAGTTAAAAGTGAAATATATATATATATAAATAAACCAAAAACTTTGCTTATTAATACAGTTATTAAAAAAATAAAAGAATAAATAAAAAAAAAGTCAATCAATATTTTATTAATCCAGAAAATTTTAATAAATTTTGTCAAATTTTAATATTTATTGAGGTTATATGGAGGACATAAATAAACATTCAACAAAACAGCAGACCTTTAAGATATTTTGCATGGAATCTTTACAACAAATAACTTTAGTTACTTCTTTAATAACAATCTAGCAAAAGGCAGCAATCTTTAGATACGACAATATAAAGTAGAACATAACAAAATATTCAAAATCAAAGAATAAACCTTGATAGGCAAGACAAACTGCTCAGTGCATATATGTGCTTCTAAAATATACTCACTCACCAGCAGAAAAGACTTAAAATCTGATACAAAACAAATTCTCAAAACCCTAAACAACTTAGCAACAGAACAAACTAAATGAATGATCAAATTCTGCAGGAATAAATGTGACAAACATGAAAGTTGACACCAACAAAATTTGCTTCAAAGTATTTGATAACTGCAGTTCAAGAAAGATCAGCAGGGAACACATTTATTAAAAAGTTAATTAAACAGCACATACCAACCTATAGAATTTAAGAGAATACATGACAGCTGAAATAGTTCTCAGCAAGAGCAGGTCAATGAAAAAAACTTGAACAAAGCTTAAAGCCACTTGGAGAAATCTAAGCTTACAGCTGTCTTTATTTACACATGGACTATTGTCTTTATCTTCATTGTTGTTATAACAATGTTCTGGCCATTGTACTCTCTGGCCTTCATCAGGTATATATTGATCTGGATAACCTACATGGAATTCTGAACTGAACCTTTTATTTAATTTACGGGGGTAGACTGTGTTACATTGCCCATGACTAGGGATAGCTTGTCTAGTACTTATTTTTTAAATAGCCTTGTTGGTTTGTGAATTTAGTGACATAGTAATTCTGAGTTCAATCCATGGGCTGGGCAGTATATACTTGGAATCAGTAGAAACAGGGTGAACAATAACCGAGCAGTACTAAAAATAAGATATCCTGGACATGGGTAGTGAAACAAGAACAAGATTAGATTAAATAAAATGTTCAGTTCATAATTCACTGCAGGTTACCTGGATTGGCATACATATGGTGAAAGCTGAAGGATGCAACAGTTGATACATGATAAAAGATGATTACTTACATTATTTACATTATATAAGATCTGGTAAAAAATATGCAATAACAGAAAAATTGCAATATGAGCACTGGTAATAAATGGTTGCTGAAACAGGTTTACAAGTCCCCGAAATTTGTACACAAATGTCCTCAAGGACATATGGCCCAGTGGACAAAGGCATTGATTAGATCCAGGTTACAGTGTAGAGTTGAGGTAAAGGGAAATAACCGAGATATCTGGAAGTGGTATGGCATGTGGAACTAGAACAATCTATCCTGGTGGACAAAATAAAGGGTTTGGTTTGAAATTCCAATCAATCACCTGAAGAAGGCCAGAGTATACAACAGCCAAAACATTGTGAATATGGCAATGAAGATGAGGATATCAGTCTGAATAGTGTAAGTAATCGTAATACCTCATCTCTGAGATATATGCAGATAACAACGGCGACAATAGTATATATGTAAATAACCCATTCCAGAAATTCAAACAGAAATTACAGCTGTCTGTTAGCCTATTTTGGCCCAACAATTTAAATTGAAGAAAAGACTATGTGTAGCTGTTAGCAAGAGAGACAACCCAAGATCTTTGACATGGAGATGTCAAAGATCAAGCAAGTACAGAAATTTAAGTATCTTGGAAGAGCTATAATAGAGGACAGAAGATGAGAAAAGTAAAATGCCTTTGAAAGGCTAAACAAAGTATTAAGCAATAGGAAAATTTTTTGTCTGAATTTCTGGGATGAGGAGTTATTATTTACATTATTTATGTTCAAATTATAGTCCTCAACTTTGTTGTTGTTATCACAACATTTTGGCTGTTGTGACCTCTGTTTATCAATCTGGGTAACCAACAGAGAATTCTGAACTGAACCCTTTATTTGATCTATGGGGTAGACTATTCTTGTTCCACTGCTTATGTCTAGGGATATCTTCTAGTTCTTATTGTTATTAATTATTTTACTGCCTGTTTCTATTGAGTGCAAGTACACTTAGTACTAGAAATAAAAAGGACACTTTTATTTAGAATTAGAAAGGGAGTTGAAATTTCTAAGTCACATAATGAGGAAAGAAGGCTTAAAGTAGGTATCTCAAACTAAAATTTTATTTTCAATATACCTAAAGACTTTTAATAGACATAGCTTGACCAAAAAAAAAAGAAAAAAAGTACCAACAAAGTTATGATCATTCAAAGTTTGTCAGAAAATTTTCTGTCTTGTGTGCTATTGGGCCAGCAGTCATTTTCAGCAGAACTGTAGAGCACATGGCTGAGTGGTTAGAATGTTTGCTTTTTGACCATGAGACCCAGGTTTGAATCTCACCAGGGTTGATTTGTCAGGAAGGTGACTTCTTGATGTTATCAGTCTGGAGGAGGTGATCCCAGTGTGCAACACATTTTGGAACGTGCCTGAAAACCATACCACGTGTTGATCCAAGCCTTGTGGGGAAAATTGGAGAGCCATCAGTGGTTGTGCTAGCATGAAGTCACAAGTCATCATGACTGAGTGTTTGAGCATGCTGGCCTTGTTCAGACTGTTAATAACGCTAGATAACGCACACTTTCCCAGAAATTGTAACTAAGACCCACTCAGCATAGTTGCAGTATAAACCACAGGTGGACTGTTGGTGTTGAGCAAACACAAATGTGCCTGAGAAGCCATCTGCAACGGGGATTAGCTAACCACCCTAGTAGACTGGCATCCTCCGATACAAGTGGCAATGCCATTTAGATAACTGAAGATGCTGGTTTCAAACTAGTTGAAAAAAAGTAATAAATTTAATGTTGTATAGGTCATCTTGAAGTAAAGGAAATATAATTGAATCCATAATGGAATCAATAATTATTAGATAAAACCAAACTAGACATTGGGAAAAATTGTGTTCTCAAAAATAAAATAGTTAAAACCTGACACAGAAAGGCAATTTTGACTCTTCATACGAGTTTCATTTAATTAGTTAATGCC